ATATAGTTGCAAATAAGTTAAGACTAAATCGTTTCCGTGGACCTTCTTCAACATATCTGTGCATGTAAACATCAATGTACAGGAAGGTGTAGCTGCAAGAGGTTGAACCTGTTGTGTACTTCGGCATGTGGATGTGGACATGAAACATGTTCCCGTGATCGTGACCATGTTGACATTGACTAACATGTCAACTGGGAATACACGATGACTATTAAGAACAATAAATACGAATTGATATGAAGGCAATGTTGGTTGCGTTTTGATGACATGACTGTGTGTATATTTGGTGGTAACATACCATAACGCCTTTCTGACCAATGTCATATCTTTTGCAATGTATTAATGATTGCCGGTGTAAAATAAATCCACAAAACCAAAGTCGTAATATTTCACATTGTAATCAGAAAAATGGCACACCATAATGTCACTTGCAAACCTTCCATTAGGATGTCATATTATTATCCATCAGCTTTAAGGGTTTTAAGGCATGTCAGTGCAATACTGACACTTATCAAACATATATCTCCTTCTGACATCAGCATGTCAATAAACGCAAATTTGTATGATAGTTCAACAGTATCTTCGACACATTAGTATTGTTGATACTATGTTGAGCTGAAATTATCTTATCTTTTGCTGATCTAAACACAAAGTACCAACCTTTGTTTCCTTGTAGTGGGTTTTCATGAATGCAATGCCAACCAATGTATATATGATCTTCAAATGATATAGCTGAATCAGAAAAACATAATTTCGGAAACAATTACCTTCTATTTGTAACTCATATTTTCTCATCAAATGCCCTTTCTATTAAAACTGACCTTTCACCTCACCAAAATATTTTTGCAATGAGCATATATGTAATATTATTGTCCACATTTTAAAATCATGGTCTGAGCATTCCAGAACTATATTTTTATGAAAATCGGTCAAACCAAACCAGAGTTATTAAATTAAGCCATCCAGTTAACGGTTAAAATATTGCCATAACCGACATGACATGTTGCACCTTAAAAGGGCCCCTGCACGGTAGTCACGCACGGTAGCTGATGATAACCGACATTAAATCATTCCTGATTGTGAAAAATCACATCCCATTCGGTCGCCAGAACTGCACCACATTTTCATCATTTTGGGGTCTGGCTTCTAGACCAATAAGCCTTTGTAAAAGCGAGTTTCAAGCCACCTACATATAAACCGGTTTTCATGATAAATATCTGCTAATCCCTGGTACGATTCCGACCATATCATAAGCACGAGTTTGTGAATCATAATGAAATATTGATGTTATAAGGCGTCCATGCCGCGTCAACAACAAATGCTAACGCACGAGAATTGCGATACTAGTACCTAAACCATTGACTCTCCCTGACCTGGAGACACATGTGATTGAGCGTATGTAGGGATGGGTAGAAGACAAAAGACAGAATGGATACTGGGGCTGTTATACCTTTCAATTATAAGTAAACTTTCGTTCTTGTCTCAGGATAAATGTATATTTGCCAGCTTCAACCAAATGTACATTCGAAGGATATGGAAATCTAGGTTAAGCTATTTGAATCATATTTAAAATTAACAGACCCAAACAATAGTCTGTTGTCCAAAGTTTTTGTTTTCCATGTCTGTCTCAGTCTGTATCACAGTCACAGAACGATATTATTTCCCCTTCCGCCCAGCCCTTACAGTAATGCTACGCCCTCAATAAAGCATGTCTAGATATTCTCAGGTTCAGCGTCTGTTATATAATCTGCAGGAAAACTCACTGCAGTGTTCGGTTTACAGAGTAAACATACCAAACACCCATAGCTTGCGGGACCAACATCTTCGGTAACATTTACATCTGCCAACGCTTAATTCGCAAGTGGTGAGGCAATAAGCTTATGAAGTTAAGGGTCCTGTACCATGTTTGTGAAATATCTATTGTGCCTTACATGAAGTCTATAATCTAAGCATGTCTAGCTATGTACGTGTTTAAGTCACTGCTTGAAGAAAGGCGCTTTTAGAATTTTATTTGGTAAATATTAGTATTTCACTGACTCAGTCATATTGGAAGACTCATGGCAACCTATACTTCATTGTAAAACACAAAGGTTATTTCTTTTGAGCAGAGACCATATGTCGGTATATGGTCTCTGCTTTGAGTTAACTGACAGGCTTTCGGTGTCAAATATTTGGGACTCGAGCCAAAGGTGATGCTATTCTGTCTTGAAATATGGCCTTTTTGTAATGCTTTGGTTGCACTTAATGATAAGTGATTGTTAAATGTACATAATATTATGATGTTTTTGAAGGATAATCTCAGCTGACTCAGATACTTTGCACGTGGTTTCCCCCATTCTTTCCACACCCATAATTCAGTTTTTATGTTCGTGACATCATCTGCACACTGATAATTTAAAACAGGTATATAAATAATAATTGTTTGCGATTTTTACCCAATTCAGGTTTCCATTCATTTAGCAATTTTCAGTTTCTATTTCCTGGAAATTCTGTACGAAGGTACATTCAATAGTTTCACCCAATAACAGTAAAGCATACAGATAATACGTTTTGGTACTTTGACGGATTAATAAGTACACATTATATTCCATATTATTGGGATGCAAAAATGATTTTCAGAATTATATAATGTATAACAAATCAGACAGCAAAAAGCAAAAGCAAAAATGAAAATGCATGAGCAACATAAATGCTGTCAGGTAGTAAGTTTTCAATAATAATCGAAACTGCTTAGTTATCTAAGTTTATGAACTAATTGCAATCACTAGAATTTTCTTTCATCTACCCAAGAGATAGAATCAAAATAGGTGTACAGTATGTGTAAGCAGTGTCTCCTTGTACGTTATATATAAGAAGTGTACCTAAGATCAGTTATCTAAACTGTAATGTAATTTCCATTACAAAACGTATAAAGCCATCACAAGGGATAAATATTTCTGTGTCAAAACAATTAAGGATTTTTTTTATAATGTAAATTATCATTTAATAAAAAATTTTTTTAAAGAAATAGAATTGTTAGATACATTTTGAACACTATGTTTTGTATATAGATAAGTATTATTTTATAAATGGTAGTACAAATTAGCAACTGCTAATTATTGTTAGTGGCTGTATATTTTCAAAGGGGGTTAGAGTATCGTAAAATTATTGTCCTCCTGAGAGGGAACGTAAGTCCCAGAACTTTCAAAGTAAAATTTTCACGTACCAAGTTTTTAAACGTAGTATTTTTGTTATTTTAACTTTTGGCTAAATTATCCTACAATCGCCAGCGGCTGAAGGAATGTTGTAAATCCAGCTAGGCTCCATGCAGGTAGCAAAAGTAATGTAAGTCTCCATGGTTCCTAGTATGGTGATGTACCTTCAGTTGTTGGCGATCTGTAGCCCATGTTTTATATTGTATTGTCTTCTTTAATTACACTGTTTTAGTTTTACATGCTAGTTTTATGTTCATATATGTGATCCTCCAGTATTTTTCCTGGCCATCGAAAACAATGTTTTCATTTTTGTATTGTATAAATTGTTTTCGTCACGATATGGCTGAGATATTGCCGATGTGACGTTAAATATTAACTCACTCACTCACTCACTCACAAAAAGTATAAACGATATTACCTACTGATCAGAAAGGCATATCAGTACCCTACTGCCGCCACCCCATCCTAGGCCTACCCCATCCCACAGCCTCTCACAGACATGCTCACACACATGCGCGCGCACGCACGCACGCACGCACGCACGTACACACACACACACACACCCTAACATATATATCGCTCTGGCCCATAGACCCGATATTTGAACCTTTTAAACAGACATCATGTGTATGTCAAGAGGGGCACGCACGTTAATAGCGGTGCTTAGTCATGGGTATCATTTCGCCAGTTGTTTCTAATGATCTCAGTCCATTATTGTGTGGTCGGACACGCTAACGAACCCGGTGTGACAGTTATATTACAGAACTATTGAAATACATGTTATAGTAACACTCTATTTACCCATTACCAAACATTTACGCGTGTACTAAATAAATGACAAACCTAACCCTGGTCATACAAGATTTCAAAGGTATTGAAATGCATGTCTTACAATCACAGCATTTACATATGTTACACATGCTAGAAAACACATGAAAACAATGGCCAGATTTACACGCCTGTGAAATACATGTAAATACAGAATTGAGTATTCGTTTATTATAACACCCCTTTTAACGTGTGTAAATCTGACAGCCAGATGATACGTAGATTTCAAGCGTTGTTCATATGGCCGCCGGATGAAACGAATATTTCCTAACGTTAGTAAATTTGGGTAATACAGTCATTTTGTGTGGTGGTGGGACTTTTAGTACACCGCCGTTACATGCATGAGATCCGTGTTAAACTGACTGACTGACTGAGTGTGCTCATCGCAGTCTCGTATATGGCTCTGGCCCAGAACAAATACCATGGCACAAATAGTGAGTGCGGGAGTGGTTGAGTGAGTGAACTGGGTTTATGCATAAGGTGAGTGATACACATAAGGTAGATAGTATATGAATGTCAGCTTCTGTATCATAGGAACACACAGTTTTTGGAGTACATGACTATTTTTTCATCTGATGTGTTCCTTAAATTAAAAGGTTGGCCTCCATAAATCCTCCCTCATATTTGTTTAGTAATATCAGCGTTTCAGTATATATATGCAGCCGTTTTGCAATCTGGTGAAACCCTGAGGTGCTGACAGACTCAGATCAGGACGAGTGGAAAACTTCGTTCGAATCCTGACATGCCTAGCCTAGGGTACGCAACTCTGTAAAAGACTGACTGACTGACTGAGTTTGGTTTTACGCCGCTTTTAGCAATATTCCAGCAACATCAAGGCGGGGGACACCAGAAATGGGCTTCACACATTGTGCCCATGTGGGGATTCGAACCCGGGTCTTCGGCGTGACGAGCCAACGCTTTAACCATTAGGCTAGCCCACCGCCCCAGATCCGTGTTAAAAGGTACAAAAGTACAAAGTCTCAATTCAACCTTTATTACCAGTGTAGCTCAGTACATTATGAACAATAGAAGTTCAGGAGACAATAGGGAAGAAACCCAATTGTTCACATGTTTCAAGGTGATTGGTCTTATAATGAAGATTTCATAGCTTCAGTGGACCTCTCGTGTAGCCGGACCCCTGAGAAAAATAAGAAAATGAGACAGTAATTTGCAAGGATAGACAATCAACTGTATTAGTGTAGGTAATTGTCTAAAACATGCAAGGTTTTGTGAAAACAGCAGAGTTTATATAGGTAACAAAATGCCGGAATTTTCTGTGCTGAAAACAATAATCGCAAGTGACAAACATAATGAGAGACATGTTACTGTCCTATCCGAGAATATTTACGTGGTATAACTGTGAATGTGTCTCGTGATGTCCCTGTCCTACCTGTGAATGTATGTCTTCATGTGTCAGACCTACCTGTGAATGTATGTCTTCATGTGTCAGACCTACCTACCTGTGAATGTTTACGCGGTATTGCTGTGAATGTATGCATCCGTGTTCCTATTCTGCCTCTATGTGCCTTTCCTGTGGATGTGTATCCTGATGTCACTGTCCTACCTGTGAATGTATGTCTTCATAGGTCCGACCTAAATGTGAATGTATGTCGCAATAGGTCCGACCTACCTGTGAATATATCTCTCCATAAGTGCGACCTACATGTGAATGTATGTCGCAATAGGTCCGACCTACCTGTCAATGTATGTCTCCATAGGTCTGATCTACCTATGAATATAAATCTTGCAGTCTTCTGTGATTGATTATGTAGGTGTCTCTGTTCTTCCTCTACTGCATATCACCATATGACATTTCAACCTGTGCTTACCTCGTTGCGTTATTAACACCTGTGCATGCACATCTTCGTGAGTCTGTCTTACCCCGGGAATGTGTGTCTACTTTCCTCTCTAATATGTATCATACTTGTATGTCTACTGGATATATAAGCAAGACGCGTGGGTGCGTTAATGGATAGCGCACGCATATTTAAATGACATATACCTTCACAACTAGGAGTGATTTTTATAACAGCCAAGACGTGCAATAATGTTTTAGAAACTTATTCCTCTATATCATACACTTGTTAACCATCTAAGATTTAGTTAAGTATGTCATGTATATCATACCGCGGTATCTACTGTGTGTATTTGTAGTATGTTACATTGATATGTGACATTTTGCATTTTACTTGTAGATCAGTTAAATCTAACTCAGCTATTTGCATGATTGGTGTGTTTTGAGGTATCTGTGCTACTCTCAATTTCATTCTCCCCCATGCACACATCAAACCGTTTGTTACATTACAGTATTATATATCTGTGTGCCACATTCTTATGTTATGCAACGAAACAAATACCATCTGTAAATATATAAAACATTTGTTAAAGTGGACATGCAAAGCCTAAAAGGACATTACTAAAACATTTGTCCGTGTCGAGGTCCACGGAAACAAGGCGGTGATGCTGACAGGAAAAAGAAGAGATTATAGGTCCTACCGATTCATACACATGTATGTCCATGCCCTGACTGATAGCACTCTTCACCATCCGCATCAACCCTTTCTGCCACTTCCGTGACGTCTTCGACAGCTTAGGGTCACGGAAAATGTAGGTGAGAATGAGATGGGTGGATCGGTGGAATTGATCGCCTGTTGACATTAAACATAGAAATGTATGCTTGCATCAAATATGTTCTCAAAATTAATGTCTGTCATATCCTGGTTGGCGTTGAAGCATCAGTTGTCAAGGTTAAAGACTCCACAAATTACGAAAGTGTAACTGACCTGTATACCCACAAAGAACAGTTGGTGCTGGCACTGGTTCGTTGTAAGTTGAAATACAAGACATGTTCAGCCGGGTGCCATCGTTTGCAGCAGCTGGGTTTCTACAGAGAAATCAATGACAAACTGGGATGACACATACTTTTTCAATGTTTCTGAAACAATTTACACCATCGCCCATTACAGTACACGCAAGCTCATCTCTTACAATATAGAACAAACTTTATGGATAACAACTTCTTTTTATTAGAGTACGACGTTTGATACAGATTCTTAGGGAAGCCAAGAAACAGCATATAATGGGACATGAAGGGGGAAGTGTATATATACTGGATGTAACAATGTAACAAAGAAAACAACATAATTAATATGTTAATTATGTTGTTACATTGTTACATCCAGTATATATACACTTCCCCCTTCTTCATGTCCCATTATGCTTGACAACGGTACAAGAATCTGTATCGAAACGTCGCACTCACGAATAAAAAGAAGTTGTTATCCATAAAGTTTGTTCTATATTGTACTTCCCAACTTCTAAAATGCCACTCAAAGAAGTTAGCTCATCTCTTGTTTTCAAGCCTACTGTAAACGTACTTATTTTCGCGTGGTGCAATTTTCGTGGAATTGACAGTTTAGACTACATCGCGCGGTCAATTATTCGCGCAATCAGTAGTTGCCGGAACTGCCAGCTGTCTCTTTGGCCGCCACTAATAGCAGTGAAAACAAACAGAGTGGCTTAATCTGTCAGGCGGCGTTTATTCCTTACTCACAGGAAATCCCTATCTGTGCGATATACTACACAGTAATCCGTTTACTCACGGAAGAGATGAAAAACACATCAGTCTTATGTTCCGAATTCTGACGATCTGACGAATTAACTTCTACTGTATATGAAGCTCTTTGTGATTTCAAACAAGCCGGGTTGTTGTGAATGAGATGATTGAGTGTTAAGTGACTATTCGCTTCATGATGTACTGGTAAATAAAATCTTAATGAATAAATAAAATACTGCTGTATTATATCTTTCCGAGTCGTTTCATGGTAATCTGTTTTGTATCAAACCATCTGTCATGTGACCAATTTCCATGGCGGCCACAACACACATTGCTGTTTTCGCTAATTCGGCGATGGCATTTGGCTCATACGTTTACAGTATATGTTGCCGAAGATGATACATACGAAATGTATTTTCACAGCTAAATGTCCCTTCACACCAAACGGAATTTATTTTGAGGATTATCTCATTATTTTCTTGCTCTGACGTTCTATATGAAATTAGTTCATTTTCACCGTAGGTTCAACTCAGTTATACATTATTACATTATATTCTGTTCACAGAAAATATTACCTTGCACAGCTAAGGAAGTGGTCAAGGTAGTCAGCCTCGATATAGAAGTGATAATCATCCATCTTCAGTTTGTCGATGTTTTTATGCACTCCCTGGTAGTACTGTAGTAATGAGGGTGTGACGCACTTCTTGGAGACGTTAGTCTGACGGTAACACATGTCCATGAGGGTGACGTAACGGGAACCTGACCACACCCTCATATGCTTTATGTCATTGTGTAGGTCGAGAACCTGTCAAGTAAACGTGTTGAATGATGGAGTAAAGATTCGGGATAAAACTATTATAGTGAGCATACTTTAAAGCAACTTGTCTCAGTTACATCACGGTGTGTCAGATTTGAGAGGAAATTTCTAAGTGACGCAGCTCTTAAACGTTTACAACACATCTTATAACACAACAGCAGACGACTGTTGCTGACAAACGTTAAAATATAATATCAGTAATTCCATCAAACAATCTTAGGTTTGTCATCCATATTAAGTTACACGGCGAAACGCGGCGCCTAAAACGACTTGGCAGCTTCTGTAACCCTTATTTAACAAATATTAGCACCAAGAAAGCTATCTGAGTGGGTGAGGTTTTAAGACAGAACCGATAACCTGGCAATACCAGCAAAGCGTACTAGTCCCAACAGTTTGATTTGAGCTTTGTTGGCTTGTATGAATGTAGGCCTTAACAAACATCTATCTCATATACCTGTGAAACGAGAGCAATTACCTTGTGAAGAAATGCCTTCTGAAATATTGGTTTGAACAGGGTAACAGTGGTTGAAGGAAACGACATGTGGCCGATATCTGGATGGTCTCCCTTCCTCCGTATCAGAAGGAAGTCGGCGACGTAGTGAGGACTGGGAACAGAAGAGTGTGGGCAAGGCACGTTAGAAACCTTTAAGAATAGATAATGCATCATAGCACATTGTATTGGTTTTACACACACACACACACCATTAAACCACGCTACTGATCGCCTGAACGCACGCTTTACAGCTGAAAGCGTCAATTACATCTACTACTATTACTACTACTACTACTACTACTACTACTACTACTACTACAGATGATCGTGCAAGTACCACATTTGTGCAAATCAAACACGGGTATCACTGTAAACCGACACCTCACCTCACTGTCTCACTCACTCACATGTCAACTGAGATTCCTTCGGACAGTTTGCCATCTTGTGTGGTACACACCGCCTGAAAAAGAACCCGGATGCTAAAAATACATGTTCATGACGCCAGTTGTGTAAAATGAGTAGATCATCAAATTGAGGATTGCAGGTGGGCCCCGCTGCGTCCACTGCCAAGTCGAGAGACACCTAGCAACACAACTCACACGTCCCATCAAATGACAACGTACAATACTCTTTGAAACGGAGGTTTCGGATTTGCTTAAAATATTTGTTCATCTAAACCCGAAGTCCGAACTCTGTTCTCGTAGGGTTTTGCGGGTTTTCAGAGAATAGTAAAACCCACTGTGATAGATCTGGGATAAATGTGTTTCGAATAAGTTGTCTGACAATAGTTTTGTGACTTTAACAGTTCTGGGGCACGATCCACAAAGTGTTCGTAGCATTAAGTCATTCGTAATCCCATGATAAACAGTATAGTTACGGCAGCTCGTAACGCAACGGACGCCCTGTGGATCAGGACCGAGTTCAGCCATGAGAAGAAACATTCTGACATTATTGAAATAGGCTAAGCCGTGAGCCATTGTGATGACGTCAAGTTATTGTTGTAACGTCAAACATACTCACAGTTCACCACATGTCTGGCCTCTCCTGGCTCTTGCCAATACATGTCACTCAGTTAAGTCCGAAGTCCGTCCTGTCGTCCTGTCATTTCTCAACTGCCCTCCGCACATGTTTTTCTCGCGCATGCGTCACCAAATCTCGTGCATGCGTAGACAGTCACTTCCGTAAGTACAAGACTCAATAGTTACAATTGTTGTCTCAGCTGAATCTGAGTTTACCTTAAATCTGCATCGTAAGATACTGTGCCCAATACACAAGCTGAGATCTGATCAAAACCTACCTGAGTCCTGTATGCAAACACACATAGGAACCAGAGACATGCTGCACGTATAACCTGCTGTTGACGAGACATCCTTACAGCAATTGGCGACACAACCTGCTAGTCGGGCTTTAACTATGTCAATACTGGAAATCGTGATGAGCATTTCCGCAGAGGAATAACATCATCACTGACAAATGTTTAACCTTTATGTCTATGCCAATTAGCCAAAATGCTAAGGGTGACTGCTGGGGTTACGGCTGTGAATTGCAACATATTGTTATACTGAGGTCTGTACTGGGATGTGTATTTAAGTGTATTTCCACCAAGGTAGCTTTTCTGTCACATACATCTTGTGAGCTTGTTGTCCTTTATTCCACCACAATTAACTCAAAATCAGTAAATTCTTTCAAAACACGATTACAGACCAAACAAGGAAATATTCTCTTTGATAAAAACTTTGGATCTAGATTTGTCAAATAATCCATGCTCGCCTCAGGTTGGGTTGTAGTGATTTGAACGCTCATTGTTTTGATAGACATATTTCAAATAATCCGAATTGTGCATGTGGGTATCCATGGGAAGATTCTCTCCTTTACTTGCCCTTGTTATGACTTAATAAGATCAGATAAATAGTTCTACACTTATGGTTTTGACTTAAATTCAATTCTCAATGGTAATCAAACTTCAAGCAACATCATAAATCAGCTTATTCTTGACTCTGTTCATAAATACATACTACTTTCAAATAGATTCAAATTATTCTAAACTGCAACTAGCGAATCATTTAATGTAATTCTGTAGACTTTTTCCTGTTATTATGCATATCATGCCTTTGTGGAAATAATTGCATCTGTACTTTGTTTGAAATTAATTGTTGATTGTATTGTATAATATTTTATGGAGCGGCACTCACATAACCCGTTGACTCGTTGTGCCAATCCATATTCATGTCATGTTAATATTTCATGAATAAAATATGTTTATATCATATTCCACCATGACATTACATAGACGACATAATTTGTCGATGGTCATTCAGTGTGCCGGCAGTCAAGCTGTGAGTGACACTTGGGTTGCGAGTTGGTACCGTCAAACATTCAATGAATAAGTATTTTATTTCACCTGACTGGCAACGGTCATTTCAATTTCCGGTCCAAGCAGTTGTGTTTTTTCTCCACTGCGTTCTTTTCTTTCTCATCCCATGTTTGTTTGTAGTTCTCATGTATTCAAGCGACAACACTGAGTTTTGCCGTTTATGCTGGGACCAAACGGATCGTTTGATAGATACTGTTATAAGTGCTGATCTTATTCAGACAATGACACTAAAAACAATTGATATGAATATTTGGTATGCGCCTGAACAAAGAAGCGGACAAGATTTAGTTTACAGTTGGGAGAAGTGGGATAACGTTCGAGTTTACTCGGATTAATATTGTTTCTATTTGATTGAAAAAAGGTAGAAGTACATAAAAATTGAAAATTTCAAGTGTTAAGTGAAATATGATGTAACTGTCATCTCGTAACATACCCTGTATATTTACAATGTATACAATTTCTTTAATTAATCAACCCATTTAGATCGTATTGTTGTAGGTTTGTATTAAGGTAATACTACAGATTCCTACTTATGTTGGTACATTGATATTGAAGGACAAGGATATCTAATATATATCTAAAGTAGTTTGTCTGAACGTTTGAATTGAAGCTGAATACTTGCATCCCAACACTTCTGCTCCATAGAGGAGTATTGGTTAAAAACCTTTTGTGTCGAATATCGTACATATGCTTGGTGATGCCTTATAAATAGTTCGCGTTGTTCAACACCGCAAAAATATCCATTACACACTATGAATCTTATGATCTTAAGAGGTGGTGATTTGGTCATACGTATATTGGTAATACGTATATATATGACCAAATCACCACCTCTGTTGCCCAGTATGGTAATGATTGCAAGCTGGAATCTGGCGGAGGTGCGAGGTCTGAATCCTTGATGTAATCGGGCACTATAAATTGCTTTTCAAGGTGTTCTCCTTCTGTTTTGAAAACTCAACTTGTCCGCATATTAGGTCAACTAGTGACATTAAGTCAATTAGAAAACCTGACTGTGACCCTCGTGATCCCCTTGGCTATAGAGGAATTTCGTTAATATCCATACCTTGTAAAATCTACTCTGACATCCTCAACACTCGTCTCAGCAGATGGTTAGAGCGTAACGATATTCTAGCACAGGAGCAGAACGGATTCCGAAGCAAATGCAGCACTCAGGAACATATTTACTGCCTTCATTCACTAATCGAAAATAGAAAAATCTCTAGGAAATCAACATTTTTTGTTTCATGGACATTCGATAAAGTTAACCGTGATTGCTTATGGTACAAGCTCATAAAACTTGGAATTAAAGGAAATTATCTAAGAGCTGTAAACTCTATGTACGACTCTACGTGGTCTAGAGTCAGTGTTAATAACAGTTTCACAAATCTATTCCCAGCCAACTCTGGTGTACGCCATGGATTAGACTAAGGCTTAGTCTCTGAATATATATAATTTGTGATAGTAACAAACAAGCCCATTTATATTGAAAAGAAGCCCTAGGGAGACCAGAGATTCAGAACCTGAGGAAATCTAGACTTGCTTTATTTAGGGCTTTAGCACTGCAGGGAGGGCTTGGCAGTAGGGAAAATAATGTGGTTCATGGACTGTGAGACAGACTAGCCAGGGATGTGCGCTCTCCCCTACACTCTTTTCCATCTATATAAACGATCTTGTGGATGAAATTAACAGTTTGAATTGTGGGATTAATATAAGTAATTCTCAACTAAGTGTATTGTTGTATGCAGACGATATTGCCTTAATTGCACCCGATGAAAGTTGTTTACAGAAAATGTTGTATTGTGTTTATACCTGGTGTACTAAATGGCGCTTGTGTGTTAATCTGAAGAAAACACAAGTTGTCCATTTCCGGTCAAGTGGTTCTAGTAGATCTGGTGTTACCTTCACTATCGGTGAAAATGAAGTGTGTTATACTCATGCATATAAATATCTTGGTGTTTGGTTCCATGAACACATTGATCTCAATTTCACGGCTAAGGAAATAGCTAAGTCAGCGCACTTAGGTATGGCTTATGATGTGTTTAATAAGTTATATGAAAACCTTGACAACGTACAACCGATTCTCTCATATGGAGCTGCGGAGTGGGGCACACGCCAGTTTAGTTGTATAAATGATGTACAAAACCGAGCACGTAGATTCTTTCTCGGAGTGGGCAGTAAGTCACCAAGCTTATCAGTTCGAGGAGATATGGGCTGGACTTCCCCTTACACGAAGCAAAAGCTAGAACTCTTACGATTATGGTATTATCTACAAAACTGTGACATCAATCGAGTGAGTTGTAAAATCAATCTGTGGTTTCGAAATTTCCGTAAATCGTGGACTAGTAAGGTTTTTACTCTAATTATTTCGTGGCAGTTGCCTATTTCGGACTTACCTTCTGATGTAAATTACACAAAGGCTTGGCTTATATCGTGTGATCACCATGACTGGCTATGCCAGCTGTGGAATGATAGAGGGCTTATCTACCCCAACAAACTCAGAACATATAGACTCTTTAAGAACTCACTTGATACTGAACCATATGCTCAACTTATAATGGGCCGATCTTATAAAAGCTCTCTCGCCAAATTACGTACGGGTACTTTATCCCTTGAAATAGAGACTGGGAGATTCTCACGACCGATTGTCCCTTTGGACGAAAGGATATGTAAAATGTGTAACTCTAAAGTAATCGAAGACGAAATCCTCTTTCTAACTGTATGCAACTTTTGTTCCGATTTAAGATACGAACTATGGAAATACGTTACCTCCTTGGAGCCCTACTTCCCGAACCTTTCTCCACTGCAACAAACCTGATATCTAATGAATACTCCATGTGTAAGTAAATCCCTAGCCGCCCTTGTCTATAGAATGTACAGGCGACGGAAACTTTATATATTACCTGTTAGCTACCTTTCATCCTTCTATAATGTAAATATGTACTGTTGAATAGGTATGTGGCTGTGTATATTTAAGCACGTCAGTATATTTTACCAGTCACCCATATTACCTGTTGTATTCAAAGCATGTTCATGCTGGACCCAGCATGACCGCAGTATGTAATATGTATGTATGTATGTATGTATGTATGTATGTATGTATGTATGTATGTATGTATGTATGTATGTATGTATGTATGTATGTATGTATGTATGTATGTATGTATGTATGTATGTATGTATGTATGTATGTATGTATGTATGTATGTATGTATGTATGTATGTATGTATGTATGTATGTATGTATGTATGGTACGTACGTATGGTTGGTTGGTTGGATGGATGGATGGTTGGATGGGTGGATGATGGATGGATGGGTGGGTGGATGGATGGATGGATGGATTGATGGGTGGGTGGGTGGATGGATGGATGGGTCTGTATGTATGTATGTGTGTATGTCCGTCTGTGTGCCTGTATATATGCTTGTATGTGCGTGTGTCTGTGTGTGTGGGGGTATGTGTGTGGGGATATGTGTGTACGTTCGCGCGTGTGTGTATGTATGTATGTATGTATGTTCATGTATGTGTATATCCGTCTGTATGCATGTACGTAAAAAAATGTTTTAACTATTTTATTCACTTTTAATTATATATATATATTATATATATTTGCGTATATATATAAGGGCTAGGTTGAATAGACGAGCAACTCTCCGGCTTGGCATGTCAAACAGGTTCCAGAATGTGTGTGTGTGTTCATTTTAATACGCATATTCTAAAGCAATGAATACAAATTACGAACGAATGAATTCACAGAATCAAAATAAATTTGATGCATATTTGTTTAAAAAACTGTATTTATTCATTAAATCGATTTCGATTCTATGAATTCATTCGTCCGTTATTTGTAATAATTGATTCAAATTATGCGTTATTATTAAACTGAACACGTGTATGTGTATTGGTACAGACTTTGGAATGAATTAGAGCATTCCAGTCTTGTCATCAGTAGGTAAACGTGAGAATTTTTACGATGTAGACAACAACCAGCAAAATGTTGTTACAATGTTACAATCCGTTTAACAACCAACAGATAGCGATGTACAAGTTTTGTTCTCCAAA